CCCCTCACCCCTCGCACTGGTTGTAGGGGAGGGATGTGCCATCTCATCTACCTCCTGTATAGACCTAGCAGCTGATTATTATCAGTTCGAGGAGAATAATTAGGCTACGAAGGAAGTACATAGAACTCTCGGAAACATTGCCGACGCAACGGTTCGTAGAATTCTGAGTCACTTCCTGGTCACTTCTCGACTGACTTGAACATTTTATTCAGATACAGTAGCATGGTGATTTGATTACATCAGTTAGTTCATTCAAAATTAACTGAACAGGAAAATATGTAGAGGTTTTTTTTTATTTTATTTTATGGCTTAAGTTATGGCTGTATGCGTTGGACAGAAGAATAACAAAGTCTAGCTAAAAGTTTAACTGTTTTAAAAAGCAAAACTAATTTGTCAGTCTATAACCTGTCTAATTTGTCTAGCTCATAACCAACGATATAAACAACTCATATTCAGTTTGTGGAAATTATCAAATACAATAAAAGTCCATTAAATTCCTAACAGAAGTATAATGGTAATACCATCAAAATGATAACTCAAACAAATATAAACATAATAAAAAATAATAACACGAGCTAATAGTATATTGCTTGTATCTGAATATTTTGGTAAACAACCGGTATAGTATTACGTATTGTATTACCTCTCAATTTCTAGTAAGAAATAAATATCTCGATAAGTTATTGCAGCACAACAAAAGTATTTATTATAGAATGAATTACTTATGATTGGCATAAACGCATTTATCGGTAAAACAATTATCGTAGTAATTTAAGACTGAGTTGGGTAAATTGAAAGAGGGACTTGTGCAGTGAAGCAACGAATCTTTCCATAGTCTTTGTTTGAATTAGGTCGAAGGAGCGTTTAAAAATAAGGACGGACGAAGGGGCGAAAACTAAACAAGTCTGAGTAGAAGCAGATAACAGACAATCAACGAAGAAGTAGAGGATACAGTACAGCCAGTTTTATCCCTCATTTGGTTACATAAGTTTATATTCTAATAACATTACTAAGTTTATTGAAGTCATGAACTGTACGAGTCATTTTCACGATATCATATGCTGTAGCTCTACTACGATCTTATGGGGTGGTCTAGTGACTGAGGGTGCATTCACAAAGAAAGCTGGTTACAAGCGCTTGTTGGCAAGCGCTTGCAAGCTCGAACCGGCGTGAGAAAAGTCAACATACAGTAGTATCAAGCGTGTGCGTTCACAGACAAAGCTTGTGCCGGCTAGCAAGCGCTTGTTACAAGCTCTGACAAGCACGCAAGAACGTTTCATACTTGTTTTCCGGCGCTTGTTGACCGAACCAGTCAGTTACAAACTACTAACAGTAGTAACAGTGCAGTATGGGTGTCGATGAGTTGATAGCTCAAGTATTTAGAGCTTCCAATTTCCAAACAAATATATTACCCACATATTGTGGGTTTTTCCCTAGAATGTTCAATAACGTAACCAATAGGACAAATATAGCATATATGTATTAAGATTATAGGCAAACACATTTAATTCAATATTAATTAAGTATTGGATTTTTTTTTAGATGAAACTTGTATACTTTTACTTTATTTACCTAGAAAATTAAATCATTTGAATATATCTCACAATATTATTTGCATTATAATTAATCTGCTACATAGGGTGCTTAAAACTCCCTTCGAGTATTTTTAGGTTTTATTATTGGTCAAAAATTCGTTCTGGTACATGGATAGGTTGCTTATGCCAATTCCTCCAAAACTTCACTAAAACACTTTCAGTTTTCTCGAGGATATAATTAAACGTGGTTAACTCCATTCTCATATAAGAAAAATACCTCACATTGTCCAATTTCAATTGATTAAATAGATGGTGGTATTCCCCGGACCTACCTCTTTCGCGGTTAATTGCATGAACATCTACTTTCCTTCTACGAATTTTTAATTCTACTTTTTCAATCAAAAATAACTCTTCATCACTTGAGGAAGATATTGTCTCAACCAGAGCTGAGACTACAATGAGCTTGAAATGCAAGCGTTTGTTGTGAACATACAACAGCATTCTCAAGCGCTTGGAACATGCGCTGAAAGTAAGTTACTTGTAACCAGCGTTCTTTGTGAACGCACCCTGAGAGCGTAAAGGCCGGGGCCACACGACGCGGATCATCCGCGCAGACGGACCACGCGGATCATCCGCGTGGTCCGACAACACATTGAATCAAATAAGAGTGGCCACACGGGGCGATCCTAAGCCGCCTGGGCGGATTGTCCGCGCCATGTCGCGGATAGTCCGCGCGATCATAAGCCGCGTTGGAGGGGATGACACACGTAGTCTTATGAGAGTGGCCACACGATACGGATTGTCCGCGCGGTTGGAGCTCATTTTCAAGCATTTGTAGTTGTTTTTTTAGTTTGTGCTTGTGCGTTTCGGTTTATAGGTGTAAAATGTTCGATACAGACAAATCAATAGAACTTGTTTAAAGACAATGTGGGAATCCTCATGTTGTACATTTCTCATGAGTATATATTCCTTAGTTATATGCGGTCAAAGCAATTGAAGTAGCTCGTCAAACGATGCTATCTACATGCGATAGCAACAAAAAAGACTCCGGACTATGGTTTCGCATGTGCTCGTAAAAGGTTTGGAACACAAATGGTTTATCGGTTATGAAATTATGGACCCATTGATTTCTGTTTGCCTTAGGCTCTAGCTCACCACACGCTTCTAATGCACAAACTAACATACCGGTACGTGTTTCTTCCATGACTACAACGAGAACGAGTGAATTAAACCATGTTAGAATCTCAGTACGTAGGCTGGGAAACCTCAACCGGAAGCGGTTCATCCGCTCCGTGTGGCCGGGACATCGTCGCGCGGCTTATGATCGTACGATCATAAGCCGCGCGGACAATCCGCCACGTGTGGCCCCGGCCTAAAGAGCGCGGTACTTCAGTCCCGGCTTCAAATCCCGCCAAATCACCAATGGATTTGATCTAATTAGTGATATTGCCGTAACCCCTAGCCTGAAGTAATGTGTAAACAATCCCAGGCTTGTGTCTGACGTCCTAGGAAAAAACTACAATCTGATACTATTATTTCATTGCGGTACTCAAATTCACTGGGGTTCTTTTTCCGCAAACAAAAGCAAATCGGTGACCGTTCCGGAAACCCTGACTATGACCACACTAGACAAACACCAACCAATTGCAAACGATCCCTCTTTAAATTGTATTGAATGAAGAGGTAGGGGTAGGGGACCGAGCACCTGGCCTTGTCGTGCTTGCCACTACACACTCACACACACACTCACACGCGGACGTGCGTGTCGTGCCACCGCGTGCCTTATCACGCCACTCCATCAACCCGTTCACTGCACCATACCAACACAAACGTAGTGCAGTCTTGTGTCACCAACACACACACACACGCGCACACTAACATACAAAACGCCGTTATACAGTGATCGATTAAACTTCCAGAACTGAATGCAAACCCAAACCATTGTTGTATGAGTTTAACAAAACAGGCAAATGATAACCCTGCCTGCCTCCCCACCTTAACCCATGAAAAAATAGTACGATGCTATATTAGTGTATCCCACTTTCAAAATTGGCATTCGAAATTAACTTGAAACCATTTTAAATTGAATATATAAGACAAAAAAAGACAGCGTCAACTAATTATTTCTACTTGTTAGACTGTGTTTGTAAGTATTGCTACAAAAAATAAAATTAATGCGAGCAGAAGAACGCAATTTGACGACTTAACAAATCAACAATATAATGATGAATCAAAACAATACATAAGTTTAATATACCTTATTGTGTTAAAAATATACCTACTGTTAAATGTAATGGAGTATGGTTTTTTTATGGTTATGGTAATACTGGTATAATGCCTTAAATTAAAACTTAATATTACAGTATACGCCTGAATTTTGGTGCTGGGTATAATTGGACAGCAAAGAAAGTTGCTTACAGTGCAATTTATTATAAGAGCCTAGCGTAAAACTCGAAGAAAAATATTGATTTTTTTTAGACGCAATGAAAATTAGGACAAAGAGAGTGAGTAGCTACACATGCGCAGTATACCGTTGTCCTAATCCGAGGAAAGACTACAGAAGACGATGCAATTTGTCGTCATTACAAAAACCGTCCACTTCCTTATTACACGACCCGACCGCGACTTGCAAGAGAAAGTCTGTTGTGGCTGTGACTGCGAGTGCGACGCATACAACGCACAACGCATCGTCAGCTTACTACTAACTAAACTAACTTAAACTGTCTTGAACTTCTTAAATAACTACACGCAATATAGAATAGGCCTATACAAGTGTGGATTCAGATTGCTAAATGATTACCTATACACTAGTTAGGGGTTAGTAGAACGTATCAAAACAACAAACTGAAAAACTGTAACAGTCCCGATAAAACATCCTTTACACGTGTCATGTGAGTTTACAAAGTTTTGTCAACTGCAGGTTGAGTATAGGTAAGAGAATTGAATGATTCACGAAAAAAACAATTAGGCGACCATAAACCACTAATAGCGTTTACATTTGTATATCTTACATCTAGCAATTGTTTAGTACCGGTACGGTACTCATTGTCTATTGTCATACATTTTCGATTCTAATAAGAAACATTGTGAATGTAGGCTATGTGATGTAATGCCATGCCACTTAATAAAGAAAATATAATAGAGTGAGACAAATTTTGATAAAATCAATTAGATGAATGTGAATGATACATTCAATGCCTTACAGCTCAACACGAACACAACGAATTCACACCATCAAACGCCATTATGCCGCACTACACTGATTACTAATGTTAGTTGACCGTGACAATATCAGTGATAAAACAAGGCCGACTCGGATTCGTCTCGCTTTAGCCCCATTGTTGTGGCGACTTCCGGTGGGATATTGAGCGCTGTTAGGTTGGTAACGGCCGAGCGGGCGTTCTCCCTCTCACTCCCCTCCCCTCCAGCGACCGCGGGCCACGGGCGAACAGACGGCGACGACACACGGCAGTGTTGTGTAGTGTCTGTGAAGTGTTGTACTAGTGTAGTGAAGCAGCTGTCAGTGAAGTGTAGTGTGGTGTCGTCATGCTGTGGCGAGTGTGGCTCTGTGTCAGTGTGTGGTCGTGCGTGTGTACAGCCAACATACCACCGCCACCCAAGGAGTCACTGGTGGAGGTCAACAAGTGTTGCGAGAGGCAAGAGCTGATGGTGGACGGTCGCTGCACCAGAGTAGAAGAGACAAACGTCACGGCCTGGAGCCCCGTGTTCAGCGACGACCGCGGACAGGACAACGTGCAAGTCAAGGGGTTCACTCTGTTGATTGGCGTCCCCAAGTGTTACTCGCGACAACAGTTTCCCATCTATCACATCCCCGGGGAGGCCGACCGTCTTGCGCTACTACCCAACGGTCACCTCAGACACTACTATCTACAGAACCAACACGACAGGGCCGGCGCCGGCGAGCTGTGGGAGCGAGAGATATCTCAAGAACAAAGATACTACGACTACCCGCAGGGCTTTTACTGCCTCGACAAGGTAGGTAACTGGTGAAGTGTGACGTAATACAGCGCGGCATTCAAGTCTCCGCGCGAGATGACTCACTTGCTGAGTCGTCAACAGCTCAGCTGATATCAACCGCGAGACTTGAAATAGTAATCTCTTATCAAAGTTTGAGTTTTAAAATTATCTACATTGTACTAACTTACATGACTACATACAGTTCACAATCATAACATCAAACATTCTACCAGAGACAGATACCAGCAGAATTATAGTACTAATGGTTCAATGAAAACACTTGACCAAACTTATTACTGTAGGTAGAGTTAAACTTGTTGAAATCACCATAGATTAATGAACCTATCAAACACAACCAGTTCGGTTCCTATTATGGGAAAGGGTTTTGTACCCAAGAAGACTATTTTTTACTCATTAGCACAAATATTTTGTAGGCTATTTTTTTATTTCACCATTTTTAAATTACTAGTGTACCTGTTGCTCGAATTCGAGCAATTGCGAAGCATTACAGGCGTTATTTTAAAACGAATAACAGTCATAATTTCCGATGACTTTATAAGAGTCGGCTCAAAGATTATGGAAATACTCAAGATGTACAAGATACTCAGTTAGATATAATCAAAATTTTTTGTAAATATCTTATCTTTTTTCAAAAGCTGACCTTGTTTTTCAGTGTTTTCTACAGATTTTCCCCACTCATAGCCGCATTAGGTTGTTTATAAAAACGATTATAAATGAAAAAAAAAAACACATTATTTCTATTTCTTCTACTGTACTTAGTTGTGTTCTATGACTTTCCTGTTTCCATTGTTTGCAAATCGGCTCTTTCAATTATTGCTCAAGAAATGTAGCACAGTGTTAATTCAGTTTTATTTTTAGTATATCAAATCGTTCAGTATTTCTCACTTTTTTCCATTGTAATTTTAAAAATTACACCAACCAAGTATCGTCTACTACAGATGCAATAAATATTAACAGCGGTTTCATTCAAAAGTAAGTAGTGTAAATGTACATATGGTCGTAATGTAAACAAATCTGAAGAGGGAACTTTAAAGGCCTCTGGGGCAGAGCCCCAAGGGATTTTACCTTGTTTCTCTTTTGATGGCTCATCTACAGACTAAGATCTTTCTTTAGAGACCCCTACCAAGTTTCTACGCCCAGCCGTTCTCTGTGATTAGCTGTGACAAAACCCCGTTTTTCCTCCATAAGAATAACATGGGATGGGAATTTAAAGGCCACTGGGGCAGAGCCCCAAGGGAATTTACCACGTTTCTCCTTTGATGGCTCATCTACAGACCAAGACCTTTCTTTAGAGACCCCTACCGAGTTTCTACACCCAGCCATTCTCTCAAATTAGCTGTCACAAAGAAAAACAGTTTCAAATTAATATATAGCCTAGATCTTATGAAAAAACAAACCATGAATGGTTAGTGTTGAGTTTTTTATGCTGTCCCTATCCTGTCCTATTCTCGAATAACCATCATACGGTAATTTGAAAATACATATTTTATAGTCCAGTATTTCCCAACCTTTTTTATGACGTGTAGGCCTACCACTACAAGACAAAAATGTGTTGAATGCCACCATTGATTTTTGGACACTGAAGTATACTCATCCCTCATCATATGGACCAGCTAAAGCAAGTTTATTTATTCAAAAAGAAACTAGTTAAAGAGCCACTCACAACTTGTGATACAGTCTAAGATCCTATTTTCTTTCTTAGTTTTTTGTTACTGTGATAGTTGGTGTAACATACAAATGCTATACAGTTTTCAATAGGTTGTCTTTTCAGTTTGGCTTGGTTAAAAAGTTTGTGTATTCGACAAAAAGTTACATCAGCCCACTCTGTTGTTGGATATTATTATTAGGTCATCTATAAAATAATAGGCCCTGTTCAAAAATTTCCTAATGGTCAAAATTACTGCTTAGAAATGTTAAGAAACTGGCTTTAAATTTGTTAGTTTTTAAAGCCTTTTCAAACTATTTTTACAACAATTTTATTTTTATTTTTCTGTCTGCGGCCCCTAGGCATATGCCTATCGTGCCTAATGGGTAATCCGCCACTGACCACAGGAATCTCAATTTTAGACGACCAGGGATACTGATGTAAAATCCAATCATGATATTTCAGGTGCTGCAAGAAGAAGACCAGGTTCCCAAGCTGTTTGCCATCGTCTGTGATCCGCATGTACCCTCCGCGTGGCATGATACAGACTTTCTACTGCGACGCATAATAGACCCGTTGTGCCACGGCGTGTCTCTAGCCTGCTATGTCACTGTGGCAGTCGTCCACTTTGTCCTGCCACAGCTCAGAGACCTTGTAGGCAACATGGTCACCACGCTCTGTGTTTGCCTAGCTGTCACCCAGGTCGCAGATACTGTCAGGATATTCACCGAGTTCACCAGTCCAAAGGTCTATCTTATTGCAGGTCAGTTTCTACAATTTGCACAATTTTCTTAGCATTTCTCAAAGTCAAAAGTCCTGTTAACTTATCCCCCAGACAATTTCTCACATTAGCTACTGGTACGTAAACAAGCCACAAAAGTGTGGTAAGTTATTTGTTTAAAATATAGTAAAATTTAGATCAAAATTACTTGATTTTCACTTATAAATGAAGAGTAAAATAAGAAAAAAAAGGTAAGGTAAGTCTTTGGCCTGCATAGGATATTTAAATTTAAAATTATGATAGAAAATTGGGACTTTGAATAATAGACGTTTACGATAAATTATGTTCCAACAAATTACATGTTAATGTAAAGTCCACCTGCTGCAGACTTAAAAAAATAATTCTTTTAATTGTTTTTCAAGGTTAGCAAAAACATTTTTTTTAGCATTATTGAACTTTTGATATTTGAATGTTACAAAAATGTAGGGAGTTAAAAAAAATGTATTCAACTGGCTCTCAACATTCACAATTTTAAACTAGGATGATGAATTATTATGTTTAAAAACATGGTATACCTAACAGGAACTATATGTGAACATAGGGCAAAATAATTAACACCTAGGCCTACAGTAAGTAAGGGTTTTAAATAATGTTCTGTAATAAAGTTTATTACATTAGAACAGTGCAGTGAAAAAAATGGAATGGTTGCAGCTTATTAACTTTGAAAACAATTTTGTTGAATCTCATTCGTATACAGAAAAATCCAAATGATAGTTATTCTAAATTACCTTTTGAAAGTTTTGAGATCCAATAATTTGAAACAAATTGTTTATAATTTTTGCACTAACAGATGCTGTTCTTTACGCTAGTCTTCTTGGGGCATTTTTCTGGTTGAATAGTGCCGGATATTACATTTGGAAAACCTTCAGGTAAGCCCTATTATAAGTTTTAACAATATTCTGTTCCATATTCTAATTAAACTCCCTTACGATACCAAAGTGTGTATTTTAAGAGTAGTGCTGATTTCCTAGCGAAAGAGATTAAAAAAATGTTTGTCTACAACCAATATTATTTATAATTAAAGTAAGAATGTTAGTTTGCAGGTAAGTCAGTCAAACATGGTTGTTTTGCCAAGTTATCATTGGTCAGAACACTTCTTATGACATTTTTGTGATTTTTAAAATGTTGAATATCTAGCGCTAGCCGGTAATTTAGAAGTTATAAATTTCTAGGGTTCACTATTTACAAGGGATGAGATATATTTTAAAATTGTATACTGTGGATTGTGAATTGTAAAAGTATTGCGTGTAGAGGTGAAGGATAAGAGGATAGAGTCAGAAGGTCTCGTGGGGTTGATACATCAGACATTCACAAGGCTTCTCAGTCATTAATACTGACTTTGGTGTGATGCCAAACAGGGAAGGGCCCATCTGCATTAGAGTAGGTTTTCTTTTCAGACAGTTATTTCAAAGTTTTATTTGTCCAAATAGTTAGGTTAATTTTTAATGTAAAAACTTATAATTTTAGGATCAAGGCATTTATTACCTAATTGTATAGAACATTTCTACAAATGTGTACGGCTAAACAGACAGCTGTTGTTATTGATTCATTGACAGTAGGTTTGGTACTTAACATTCAGTCCTAGACAGTAAATGTGATGCTAAATGATGTGTCATACATGAGTCAACATCAGTAGTCAAAGCCACCCAACGAGAATACATTATTGTCTTTGTCCAATTTTGCATAACAGAACTTTCATAGTTTTCCTATTAACATTTTTATTGTTATTACAACAACAAGATGAAAAATGATATTTCCTATTCATCAGTGCTGTAATAAGACATAGCAGGCCTACACTCAACGAGACTATTATGGCTTCTTATCAGGGTGATGAGAGTTCAATTTATTTGCCTGGTTAAATTTTTACTTAGGCCTAAATATTTCTTTAAATATGTTAGGTTCATTCCCTGCTCAAATTATATTAGATTAATTAGGGCCAACTTATGTTTGCTGCTACAGAGTAGGTATTAAAGTGTGTTTTTTAGTGAAATGTTACTACCTTAAGATGAAATAAATAAATTTGTAAATTTTGATCAGAATATATCCATAGACAAGAAAACTACGAGAGTTTATTTATACTCTATAGGAATAACATGGGAGTTCTAAATCTACAAAATGTTTATGGAATTTCTTCCTTAACCATCAGGCACCCAACAACGCTTCAATATACAAAATTAATTGTTTTTGAGTTCTACATAATAACTATGAGAGAAATAGAAAAAAATTTAGGTTTTGAGGGTCAAAAACGGAACGACTCAATTTTTGACTCAATAAACTCTTGGTCTGCTCATGCTAGTTAGCCAACTTATTACAAATAAATATATTTTCCACAATATGTTCTCATCTATATGTTGTCAAGTGTTGTGTATGCACAGGTCTCGCAATGTATTCCTGAGAATCACTGATGGCCGCAAGTACTGCTACTACTCACTGTACGTGTGGACATCCACTATAGGAATGACTGTATTTGCAATATTTGCTCATCTTACGCTCGACGACCCAAATGTGCCTTTAGAATCCCAAGATAAAAATATATCCAACCCTCACGGTGCTATAGGCAAGTGTTGTTTCATCACACTATTTTCTATGACGTTTCATCTAAATATTCTTGCATGGCAAATATATATATCTTGGTGGATTAAAATGACACTTAATGACAAAAAAGATTAGATTTCAATATTTACCAAGATATTTTTCATTATGCAATATTATTCTTGATTCTTGGGTACTCGTGGCTTTTCCGTAGTACTTGAAAATACCTATTAAACTCACAGATTCTTCTATCACAGTTGATGCTTAATTTAAAAACTGATTCTGTAATTATTTTGTTATGTTTGTTTACAACTAATTTGAATTTATTAAAACATTGTAAACATAACTCTTGCAAAAAACCAATGATGTAGCATATTGCAACCATAGATTTTTAGTGTATGAATTTAAACATGGTTTAATTTTAAATTAATCTTTACAGGGTGGCTTGGAGTCGCTGTGTTTTTCACTCCAATTGCTTGCACTATTCTAGTGGATCTATTCTTTTACATTTCAACAGTCAATATTATCAAGAGGATGTCAACATATGGCAGAATTCATCATAAAATGAAATACAGGTAAGATAAGACATGGATAAAAAAAAATGAAATACCGACAGCAACAAACCAAACCGGCAAACTCTACATTATTTGATAACTGATTTGAAATTATTCTATTTGTACTAGTAACAGAATTTTCACCATATCATTTTTACTCAACATGTTTGTTTTTATGTTAACGCACAAAATATATATATACAGTAGAGTCCCCCAAACTCGGCATAATGTGGACTGGTAAAGTGCTGAGTTTGTGAAGTACCGGGTGATCAGGAACTAAGGTTAAAAATAAGAACAATAATGTTTTTAACCGCCTTTTATATTTATATTTATATTAGAAGTCAGTATTAAGTCATCAGATATAGTACAACAAATTCTTAGTACCAGTTGCAAATAATTTGACTTAAGCTGGCTGGCTTGAGTCCTTGATTAACTCGGACTCAAAAAATCACTAATTTTCTGAGCCAGGTGATTGCCGAGTTATCCAGACTGTCGGGTTATCAAGTGCCGAGTTTGCGGGACTCTACTGTAATGTCGTCGAAATTGGGTGATTTTGCTCGAGTTATCGTGCTTGAACAGATATGAAATTGAAAAAAATCATGTTTTTGGATTTTAGGTTCTTCAAAATCTAAACTGAAACAGTCCCGGGCCTAGGTTTACAACTTAAGCAAAACTTACTTACTACAGAGAAATTTGCTAAAAGTGATTTTCAGAGCAACATCTGTCTATGTTTATGTGTGCAGTTGTGTGAATATGGATTCGTAAAGTACTGGATACTACACCCAGCAGTCTGATACAACAGGCGTTTTCACCTTTTATTTTTGTGGTCATGTTTTATTTTAAATGTAATTCAGCTTTTATCTATTTACAGTATTTTACTCTTATGTTGCTTGTTTGCAGTTTTGTAACATTTGGCAAGCTGCTGCTAACTTTATCCCTGGGATGGGTGTTTCTGCTGCTAGCCTGGACTCCTCAGTCTCACCTCTACTATGCATACATCTGCAGCAACGCTGTGCAAGGACCTCTAGTGCTATACATCTGCGTATGTGGCCAAAAACGTGTCAGGTATATCAACTTATTTTTATGTTTTGAGGAATAGAGTTCAGTTGGTCAAAAACAGTCACATAAAATATCAATTGGTATTTAGTTTGTAAGTCTTGCCTAGAACAGACTGGTCAGAAATGTCTGTTGTAACTGTCAGTGTAATTGTAAACAGCTATTCTTGAGAAATATATACTACGATTGAGGATGTTAAATTCATTCTAAAACATATCACAACCCAATAAACAAAAAAGGCTACTATGTTTGTTTATGTTGAACAGGTTTTTACTGAGGAAGGCTTGCTGCTACGAGAAGTGTTTCTGTGTGTGGTGTCGACCGAGAGACAATGAAGTGCCTGAATGGGGCGAAGAATGCATGGCAATGAACACTCGATAGCACCAAAGATGACAAAGTGCTAAGACTGGACAAGGTGTACAAAGCTAGTGTGGAGTGAGTGGGCATCTTCTGCTAGGGTGCTAAACAGTAGTAGATGACAGGAGTCAAACCTGTATTGAAGAAAATTCCCACAAACTTAGAACAAGTATTACATGTTGACACACACATACAAAAATAGTTTTTATACAATTTAGAAAAATATTTGTAAAAGGTACACAGAAAAATATATTATAAGCTAATTAGAGTGCTGGAGAAAGATTGGCTGGTAAACTAGCAAAGCTAAAGCAACATTTGTTTCAAAATGTAAAAATAATTAAATAAAGGGTATGGTAAGGCCCAATTAATATTTCCCCCTTCAATGATTAATATTCCCCCTTAATATTTTGTACATACAGATTCGCTAAAAGAACAAGGTATGTGTATTTGAATTAATATGTGGCAGACTAATTTTGCTGAACATAGTTGCGAATAAGTAGCCTTTACTTAATTTTAAACATGTCAAAGCTTTGTACTTCTTTATAACACCCACCACTCTCGATGGCCAACAAACTTGCGTACACTCTCATGTGGGGTTTGTGAGACTTGTGCAGCATCTTATCTTTTGATTTTATAATGATTTTTCACATTGAAAAGTGTTATGTAAATAAAATAATTACTACTATGATACTTTAAAACTTTTAATAAATGTTACCAAGTGTGCTTTTGTACTTAAATTCTAGTTTAGATTTCTACAGGGAAATCATTAGTACGATAAGGAACTTTAATATTTATTGAAAATGTTTTTGTACATAAAGTTATTTATATCATTTGTTGTATCTTTTTAAAGCCCTTCCCTGTAATTATTACAGTTAAGAAATTTTATGTACAGTGAAATCTTTATAATCCAGTGTGCTATAATCTGGGCCTTCCAGAAACCCTGCAGTCTCAGATTATTGATTTTTAGTCAACAGTATTTTTCATTTCACTGTGTGTCTGAACAGGCCAGTCATGTTGCTTCATAGTAAAGTTGTGTTTGTAAACGTTAAGGTTTGTGAAATTTATGTTATTTGAGTTTTAGCCCAAGTCAGAAAATCAAGCCGACCCAACCCCTCCATCATGGGAGACATTGTAAGACACAATTAAAGGTTGCAGTTGCCGATTAAAGATTAGAACTATATTTAAAATACCCCCGCCGCATCAAACCTGCCGACTAAGCGAATTTCCACTTGTCTGAATTGATTTTCAATTATAAATAAAATTTTAATTTTCTCCGTTACCAATAACCTTACAAAACACTTTGATATACTAAAATATTTATTTATCTAAGCTGTTTAAAAAGGTCTAGAGAGAAATTGGGAATTTTTGTGTTTTGAGGGTCAAAAATGAGAAAACCCAATTTTAACCTCATAAAACCTCCGTAAAACCCCGTTCCCATTGTCCGATTGTGCTTGTTTGCAAACTCATTTAAGTTTATCCTTTAAACGGAATTTCATCAAAATCTGACAAAAATGACTTAAGTTATCGCGTTCACGGACGTGTATATATATATACAGTAGAAAAGGTAAACACACAACTGAACAACTCCCCCCCCCCCAACCACAAACGTGAGTGTTTAATTTAACTGGGTAGGACAAGGTATAAACTGATAAAAGGTATAAAAGGTATTATCCAACTACATATATAAAAATGTGAACGAATAGTGTTTTTGGCCTTAGGGGGCATCAAAATGAAAAAGTAAATCGGTCATGGACCTAGGTTTTACCATACCACCTATGGTAATAGCTACTTCCCTACAGGGAAATTTTCTAAAACAGGGATAGTCAATTTGATGGATTAAGATGACAGATATGAGAGTTGGCAATACAGCATCTGCTCCACCACACTTATGAGCAAACTCTGCTCACAACAATATTGAATATTGGGCAGGGTTTCTATCATTACTTCAAAACATTTGGGTATCATCTGCTCACCTTTGGCTGCTAAACATTATTCTGTTTGTTGCTATAAAATAGTTATTCTAAATCGTAGTGTTTGGCAACTAGTCTAACGTGCAGTAATGATAATGTAAAGTGTAATACTTCACTAGGGAACATATCAGCATGAACTAAATTAGTGTACATTTATGAGGCAAGCTAGAGGGTAAAACTTAAATTTGGTCAAAAACAACAGTGGAGAATATCACAATGATCTTGGTGTTAGACAAGAGGTGTGCTGGCAGTTCAAGAACAAGATATGTTCCATATCATCCGCAGAATGTTACTTATAACAGTTTCCGTTTTGCATTAATTCTGGAATGTTGGTACTTATGGCACAAAATGTTCTAAAATCCTCATGTACATAGCAGCTCATGTACATTTTCTATGCCAAAAAACTTGTTTGCATTCACATCTGTCAACTGGCTACAATAGTAACCGAGATAAACCCATTCCTAGAGAGACCTAATCATGGATCACAATTCATAGCTGGCGTGGGCGACAATTTTATTTCACAGCAGTTTCAAGTACTGTACTATCAGGAGACTATCTCCCACAGGGGTGGGAACCGGCTAGAATAGTAGTGAATCAAGTAAGAAACATGGCGTTAGACTTGACCGAGCTTGCTGCATTCAACCCATCGCATTTACATAAATGATGAAAATTAATCCTGCATATATGTTTATTTTTCGTTATAGGGTGCGAGCCTAAGGCAAAAAGAATAGTTTTGGAGTACATACTTAAATTAATTATAATACATTTTTCGTAACTTTGTAGGCCTTATCTATACTATTATATAAAAATCTAATGGTGTCTGTCTGTATGTGTATTACTAATAGGTGCAAAAACTACTGAACCAACTGGGCTTAAATTTACAAAAAAATTGCTACCATACCAAGAACCATTATAGGACTATTCACATTTCGATACTGACCATAGGCTTTGCCCATTTGGCTTTAAAAGTTCTGAGGTGAACATTTTAAAAGTAAATATTGATTGGTCTCCATGGCTGTGAAGAGAACACTAACAATGTTTGTTTACATTTGCTTTGACATTTAAATGTAAACAAGAAGAACTGCTAAACTGCATATTTCACAATTTCAGACAGCTGATACAAAGAAATTAAATATAATATTTTCCATAACTATGAGGTAGGTTTATTTTAATCTAACCTTTTATCATGGATTATTTATTCTAAAACTATGTCAATGATTATAGAAAAAAAAGATTCTATAACCGTTGCTGTATCAACTCCGGCTCTGCTTTGGATTTTTTAAAGCGTCTAAGTTATTAAAATAATGTTATTAATATGTTTTCATGGAAACAGTATAAAAATTACAATGTATAGATTTTTTGTATGAATTTGGAGGCTACTTTCAATAAATTCTAACTGCTTAACATGTGTTGGATTAACTTAACATAACTTGCACATCACATTGTTTTTATATGTATATTTAGGTAAATTAAGTTATTGTGTTTTGCTAAACCTATGCTTAATTTAAACTAAAGAATATCATCAATAATTAAATTGAACGTTGATTTTTGTTTTCTAAAATCTGTTGTAAATGAGTAACTGTATTTAATTATCAAATGGTAATACAAAATAATCTTATTTTATCTTAACATAGCTTTCAGTTCATATTGACTTTATTTGATACATTTATTATTTGTGTTTTGCAACACCACTGATTAAATTAAACCAAAGAAAATATCATAAAACTAAGCAGTACACAGTGTTCTTTTGTTTCTAAAATCAATGAAATATCTGTTACTATGTTTATTTAATGGTTACTTACAACAGATCAAACTAAGACATCCTACCATACGATTCAGACACACTTCATTTTCATTGTTATTGTTATTATTATTCTTATGCCTTGTTTTTGTTATGTCATAGTTTATAGCTGTTATTGTTGATCGATTGTATTGTTGTTATTGCTGATGAAATGTTGTTTTATTATAATTTAATATTTTGTATTCATATAATCTTATTATAATCTTAACTGATTGTATTTTGTAAATGGCTTTGCCGTGGAAAATAAAAATGAAATGAAATGGTAAGTGTGAAAATGTAAAGGCAATGGACAATGGAACTGATTAAAAGAACTGGTTTGTATATTAAGTTGTTTGTTGATATTTTTGTAGAGTAGAATCAGAGATGCAATGAAACATATACTGTATTTGCCATCACATTTTTTAGTCCTTGTGCTTTGATAATCATATTAGTTTTATCCGCTGTTTTTAATGCTAAATTATTTGTTTAAAATTTTTTATAGTACCTATAGATATAGTTTCTTTAATATTTCAAAAGACTGTATTGATAAGGCACAGCAATATTTCTTAAGTTTATAACAGCTGACTAAGTTTTGCTAATGATTTATTGTGAGTGAAGAAACTGAGGATGGAAGGATTTGTGATTTAATATAAAGAAGAGTGAAATTTAAAAAGAAATGTTCATTTAAATTTAATAATTAGTATTTTTGCAACTTCAAAATTTAAATTTAACATGTCAATAATAAATAAAATGATATGTAACTAAGGGAGATGAAGGTTAATCATGTATGTCAAAGATTTATTCGAAGATTTGGTCAGTTTTTCTCATATCAGCCTATACAAGATTTAAAATTAATCATAACCAAAATGGTTTTATCCACTACTTACCTGATTTAAAAGTCATAACTTAAACGTTTCTATTAAGGCCATAAAAGTTGAATTTTGTTTCTAAAAGCGTTGGCGGATATGTAACTATTATATACAACAGATGAAAAGATTTAAATGTTTCTATTTTGTGTCCTCTTCCCGGTGCAAAGCACGGGTACAACAGCTAGTTATGTATATACAGCTGTTACTTTCTGGATAGCCCTCATATTAGTACATAAAAAGACAGTACAATACCTGGTTGAAGAGGTTGCCATCAGGACGCCGAGGCAGCGCGGCGAGGTCACAACGAACAACCAGATGACAATCATCCATCACTGTGTTGAAGAATCTTCGAGTGGGCAATAGAGCTTCCAGATCTATCATCAGCTCCAAGAACCTCTCGCAGTATTGGATAGTCTCTGAACTTACGTCCCCTGCAGACAAACAATAAAATCAATCTCTAGGTGGCAGTAGAGCCTCTAGACCTATCAATAGCTCCAAGAACCTCACACAGTATTGGATAGTCTCTGAACTTACGTCCCCTGCAGACAAACAATAAAATCAATCTCTAGGTGGGCAGTAGAGCCTCTAGACCTATCATCAGCTCCAAGAACCTCTCACAGTATTGGATAGTCTCTGAACTTACGTCCCCTGCAGACAACGCTTAAGCCTGGGGATCAAAATTTACGCTCAGTTTCTGGTTTTCCCAGTTTATTGGAGCAGACTTCCCCTTGGTACACAATCAAAATCCAAATTAATTTGGTTTATCAATTAAAACAATGTTTCAATCGAATAATGTTCAATAACAATAAATGTTATCTACATGTTTATTCTGCATGTTTATGATTATTATTCTAGAAGAAAACAGGGCTACCAAATTTGTATTGTAACTGAATCGCCCCATTACATTATGTTTTATTTGAGCAACAGGTTTTCAATTATTGATTTCAAATTATTACCTTTCATTGGTATTGATTCAAGTGTTTCGATAAAATTGAGCATCAATCGATGAAGAAACTTTCGCTCCCACTCCAACTTCTTCTTCATCTCAGGAGTATCTCTTTTATTTATCTTCACCCAAAACTTTCTCCACTTAGGAGCTTTCTTCAGCTCTTGCTCTCTTCTTCCCTAGAGTAAAAAAGAAAAGGTTTATGAATTTAAATGTATCAATGATTAGTGTTCGGCCAATCAAGTAAATTCGTCATCTTTATTCAGAATACATAATTTGATTAGGCTCATAAGTCATAAATCGTTTATTCAGCCAATTAAAAAAAAATGCATTAGCTACGTCAAAATCAAACTTGGACCAACACAACCTATACGAGAGTAATTTTTAAGTGTTGGTTGAGTTTGTATTCAAATTGGTTTTAAGGAGAAGTTAAAATAGAAAATAAGCCACATATTAAATCTCAAATAAATAGTTAGGACCCTAAGTCATAACTTAATCAACACTTTAATAAATACATTTTAGTGATTTTACTATGAAAAAGTTGAAGATGACCTATTTTAAAAGATTTTTCTGATACAACAATGCCAATTTTCAGAGTTGTAATAGCTAACACCTCTTAAGTGCTATTTATTCAAACGTCACACTCAACTATTCTCTTATAGGTCAGCTGTTTGGAAAGCGACATGCCGACCTGAGCGATAATGCTAACCAATTCTAGAGGAGGTCGCTTTCTAAGCAGCTAACCTATAAGAGAACAGTTGAGTGTGGTGTTTGGATAAATAGCACTAAAGAGGTGATAGCTATTACAACTCCAACAGTATTGTAAGCCGAAAACAAATTGTAGCCCATCCAACACCACATAGCGTAGGCTACCCTAACTAGGACAAAAAGACATATAGGTTCCAGTGTGTTGTAGTACTTATTTTGTATCTAGATAGCAAAGATAGCAGTAACAACTGGTCACACCAAACAAAAATCTATTTTTGTTAAAGACGGGTCGAGGCAAATCTCTCTCCTGTCTACTTATTTTAAATAAGTAATTTTTCCTAGCAGATTAGTAACGGTACCATACTATAAAAAAATAGGTCTAGGTAGCTATGGAATCAGAAGTAATTCCTAACAAACAAAAAAACTTGTAGCCTACCTCTTTTAAAAACTTTTAACAAGTGTACAAAGTTAAGAGACTGTCCAAGGATTGCCGCTAACAATTATTAATTTATGATTGAATCTAGTTTGGTTTTTACTTTGTTGTAAAACACAACATTTGTATGAAAACAGAGGAGTTTATTCATTGTTGTACATGTTTAAAAGTTTAAATATTAAATTGGAAAACAAAATGTATTTAGCAAATTAAACCTTTGAACCTGAGTAGTACCTTCTAACAAAAAGCTATTACTCCACATACACCAGCTGTATAACTATTTATTGTACATTCCTTCATCACTTACGTCTTGGAGAGAAACCCACATGGAGAGGGACACAAGTCGCTTCACTTGCTCACGAATCAATTCAACTTCCATACTGTTAAAGGCATGGTTGAGAAAAACAATAAGAGCTGTTTTCTCTCTCAATGAGTGAACAGACAAGCAGGCTTCTAGAACTTGTTGGAAAAACTGTGGAAAGTGCTCTGGTTGTTTTTTGAAGGCCTGGAAATAATTCACTCATGTAACCAATCACGAAAAGCATTTTGAGCGTAAACTAAAATTAATCTTGTAACAATTAGGATTCCAATCTGCACCAAGAATTACAAGTTCACTGAAAACTGAAATCTGATATGAGTGTGTTTCATGATAGTTGTTTTTATGTAAACATAAACTGTAAAACAAGAACAAAGAAATAAAAATTATATTATTTGGGCTAACATTTTTTAACTATTATGCTACCAAAAACGGATATTTTTTTAAAATTTAAAAACCAATATGTGATAATATTGCAAAAGATTAGCAAAGAATATTGACTGAATTGTATGGTAACAAAAAATTGTTTTGTGTAGGGAACATTCGTATTAGGAGCAGTGGTAGTTCCTAAGGGGGGGGGGATACAGGGGATACATTGGACCCTGGGAAAATAGATTTAAACATACATTTTGTCCTAAAAACATAACGGAGACTTTTGGACACAGTTCTAGAATAAAAAATTGCTTTAAAAAGCCACAAAACGGCATTTAAAATACCAAATTTTGCGGGGAAGGACCCCTGAAACCCATTCTTTCTTGGGGTGTGTGCGGCATCCCCTGGTAGCCCCCCACCCCCTTTGACAAAGTCCTAAAACCGCCACTGACTACTGTCGGGGAAAAAAGTTTAGACACTCGAGTTCGGAGCTCTACAGAAAAGTATCCAACTAACTTAGAAAAACACGTAATATATATAAATTTTCGTTGTTTTATTCTATGTATTCCTGTGAAAACCAAAAAATTTTAGCTCTTTTAGGAAATTTTTTATGATAGTTGGAAGGTAAAAACTGCCTGTTTTTAGAGTACCAAAAACCATCTTATGACTTTGAAAATTCGCACAATGTAAACTAAACAGCAGAACTTTATCAAACTTTAGTACAATATGGACACATATATAATGAATTAATTTGTGTAGTTTCAGAATTTTTACTCTACCCAAAAAGTTTTTTTTGTAACTTTTGTAAATCAACTTTTTCTCAAAAACGGCAAACGCTAGAAAAAAATTTAAAAGCTTGTTTTGGAGGTGATTGGTTTTGTATTAGAAATATTGATACTGCTCAACCAAATTGTTACGCATATCATTTATATAAGTTAACATTTAATTTGGATAGTGCAGAGGCCGAATACGGCACTTCCAGACCGCCACCGGCTCTGACTGGGCGCATACTCCGTATAGTGATGCCAAATTGAACACCTGGACACTGAGCAGCGATGGGCTGCAAAGAGACGTAGGAATTGGCTAACTCAGGAACTCGCTAACTCGGTCGTTTGTCGGAACTGGCTAACTCTGGAACTGGCTAACCGTCTCAGTCAGGAATTGGCTAACTCGATTTTGTCTCGAGGCGGAATTCGCCAACTCTGGAAGTCGCTAACCCGGCCGCGCCCACTGCACGGAGCGTTGCCAACCTTGTACGACAAAATAATCGTACACTGCCGTATTTCAAAATGTCAGTGTCAATGAAGAAACAGTAAATGTTATTGTTTTTTGTTATCAATTCCACTTTTAACAGATAACTAGCCCAAAGTAATTCAAAGACAATTGAAAAATCATGAAAAAGTGTTTATTTATTTTTATTTAACTGTACAATGGCCAGTTAAATGTTTATGATTTCGATCTTAAAAATAAATGCCATCAGTACAAAAGAAAATAATAGTATATGAAAAATATTGAAAATTCAGTTTAATTGGTACTAAATAATTAGACCCGTACGAAATTAAGCTAAAATACGCGCAAGTTCTGAAACACGGAAAACAGATTTAATCGTAATGTCGTAATAAACCAAAACCATTAATTAATACAGTCATCAACTATCGTAACTTTCATAACTAATTCATGGTTTTAAAATCAAATGTTCGTCGTTGAACCGTCCAACTTACGTGTACAAATATGATGACATAGACTAAGTTTTTATCTAGGCCTAATAGTTTGAACCAAAGCATTGTAGGCCTACTAGTAAATAGTTGCCTAATTCTAAAATGTGCTGAATTTTTTAGCAATAATGTTACATGTTTTAAAACCGTTTTTAGATTGTACACCTAAGCACCACTAGTAAAAAATAGGAGAAGATATAATATTCATATAATAAAATGTGACAGGTTTATTTTAATTCACGATTCTTAATAAACGAATTAAATGATTTTCCTGATTTGAGTGTTGGGTTTCCTTTTTATTGCTTTCACAAACTATATAAACGATACCAAGCCATTGCTTGGTTCACCGTTCACCGGTACTGAGCTACACAATAGACAATAGCTTTGTTTTTGGATAAGATCAAGTATTTTTAGCTATGGCTACCATTCATAAGAATTGTAACAAACAAGAACGCCTGGGTCCATTTAGAACCAGCCTGGAGAAAAGCCCTAGACTTTAAAAAAATAGGCCTACTGAAAGACGTAAAATTAATATTAATTCAACAAAATTAAGAGGATGACCCGGGTTCTACACGATAATAGCCTATGATAAAAGAAATTTGCAAGTTGTATTTATGCATAGACTCATTTTTAATGCAATCCATGAATACATTTTAAGCCTACCACTTTATAATGTATTGATAAATATTTATTTAAATTCAATAGCTCTATTTAAAAATACATTACCACTACAATGTAATTCTGTAATGACATTTAACGTGTAAATTTTATTATGATTTATGATTCAAGGTTACAAGCCCAGTAAATGCGAACTCAATAATTTTATTTGCAGAAGTTCACAAAATGGTATTTATTCGAATAAAAGAAACAAATGGCGGACTACGAAAATAGATATTTCATAACATGTAATAGATCCAAATTAAATGTGCATTTTTATCTTTTTCATACCAATAAGCTACTATTTAAGTAAGAAACCCACATATAAAACATACTCCCTTATATTAGTACATTTCTCATCCTTATGGATGATCTGAAGACAGTTGTATTGTTAGTTCTGTCTGGTGCACTGTCTTTAGAGGTCGTGTTTTGTTTACAATTGTTTCTTGTTTTCAGTAATTTAAAACCTCGTTTAACCAACACGTCCCCTAGTTATATAACCAAACAGTAAGGAACAAATCTTGAAGTAACTATAAAATAATAGAAACACAATTTTGTCGACACTAGCGATCAGTGTCACCGGACATGAACTAGACACGAAAAACGAGCTTCAAAGTTTACAATGGGATGTAAAGTTTACTTGTGTTGGTAAGTCTATGGTAAGACTATAATGCATTTTCCACCCTAATAATCATAAGAACTTCTCTGTGGTTAAACATACTTCTAAATATATTTATTTTATCGACTACGTTGCTCTTACTCCTAATTAATCGTAGGATACGACATTATGGTGCCGATACGATATAGGTACTACACTTTCGGCAACACTGGCCAAAAATATTCGTGCTTGGCTCCCATTGGACGGCCCGCGAGGCTTCTGATTGGGAGTTAGCGAGTTCCGCCGAGGGACCGAGTTAGCGACTTCCGTACGAGGACGGAATTCGCTAACCCGGCTCTAGAGCGGGTTAGCGGGTTCCGGAGTTAACCGATTCCGAAACCGAACAAGTTAGCGAGTTCCTCTCATCGACCAAATTTGAAGATAGGGCATTTAACATGGGGTTAGCGAGTTCCAGAGTTAGCCAATTCCGCGGACCCGCTGCAAACTGTTGAGTCAAAACTGAACAGCAGTTATTATTAATTATTAACCATTTCCCATCACCTTTTCTAATGAGGGCTTTGGACCTCCATCGTCACTCCCACACTTCTAAAAAAAACATATAACACTGACAATCATTGCATATTCCGAATCTGACAATTTAGATTTAGCACCTATATTTGGGGTGGTAATACTTTCGACCCTTTGGAAGAATGTAAAACATTATATTTCCTGTGAGTCAGTCAGTGACACACTCTGCGTGAATCACCTTACGCTCGGTCAAGGTCCATCGTGGCAACACTGCACTGGATTCCTGAGCGGGCGATGGCGTCTGCACCCCTTGCAGGCGCGAGATCATCCAGTTTTTTGTTAATTTATATAAATAACATGCGTAACAGTTTGGTTCAGCAGTATCAATATTTCAAATACAAAACCAATCACCTCCAAAACAAGCTTTTAATTTTGTTTCTAGCGTTTGCCGTTTTTGAGAAAAAGTTGATTTACAAAAGTTACAACAAAAACTTTTTGGGTAGAGTAAAAATTCTGAAACTACACAAATTAATTCATTATATATGTGTCCATATTGTATTAAAGTTTGATAAAGTTCTGCCGTTTAGTTTACATTGTGCGAATTTTCAAAGTCATAAGATGGTTTTTGGTACTCTAAAAACAGGCAGTTTTTACCTTCCGACTGTCATAACAAATTTCCTAAAAGAGCTAAAAATTTTTTTGTTTTCACAGGAATACGTAGAATAAAACAACGAAAATTTATATATACTACGTGTTTTTCTAAGTTAGTTGGATACTTTTCTGTAGAGCTCCAAACTCGAGTGTCTAAACTTTTTTCCCCGACAGTAGGAGCACAAACCTATTTCTTTAAAAGGCTAGCTGTACCTCCCATGCTGGGACACGCTCTCTGAACTTCTCATTGAGCATAACTACGATGGACATCATGTGCTCGTGGGATGGTTGCACAGTCGAGTAGTTGGGCCAGAGGTAATTTTCCAGATATTGACTGAACTCCAACATCATGGTGCGACGAATAGCAAACCTGCAAAAGCATAACCATTCATATCTGCACTAACATTCTATACTAGGTCCTCAGAGAGAAATTTAAATAATGTTAAATTGATTGTGACAAAATAATTAACAAGGTAAATTATGTGTTGTAATGATTATACTATGCCAACAGTTTAGGGGCTTAGAAGTCTTAGTAGGTTTAGAGGTTGCAAAAAACCTGTAACAATGTGAATAAAAAAATTAATCCTTGGCTTCCAAAGTGAGCAGCTGTCTCTTCCCAGGGCCCTCCTTGTTTATTGTCGTAATTGGTCGTGTGTAAATAATGAAGTTAGAAGAACTAATAAGCACTTTGAGGAACTAAGTGAGAACTATCATAATGTGACGGTGGTTAAGGCAAGTGGAGCACTGAGACATTTGCATACACAACATGGGCAGCACCACAATCAGCACGGCAAGATATGGTTAGCTAATCTCATAACCAAGACAATTGCATCAACATCATCTGTTGCAAGAAGATGTCTGCGGGGCGTTGAAGATCAGCCGACTCCTCTGGGAACTGAGTCGCTGTTGGAAAACTACACCCCTCCCAGTTTTGTGCATTGTCATCAACAACCACTAATGGACCCATAGCTGTAAGTACTTTAAGTAGATCACCAATTGTACACAGGTTAGATAATGTTAGTTTTTACAGCTTATCAGAAAAAAAAACAATGCAAATATCTATGAAAATAATAGTAGGCCTATTCAAAATAATAAAAAAAGCAGTGATAAGTTAAATTTAACAATCTTTCACCAAAACTATCAAAGCCTGACTAATAAAATTGAAATTCTGGAAAACATTTCATGTGAATTTGATTTAGATGTTTTGTGTGTAACGGAGCAATGGATTGTAAGCAATGAAATCAGAACATATTCTATCAATGAGCTAAAACCGGTTGCAAATTATTGTCGTACTACCATGATTCATGGGGGATCAGCAATTTTCACTAGGATTGATCCGTCGTTTATTAAAGTAATGGATGACATTAACAGACTTTCTGTTGAATTGGATTGTGAAATTGCATGCATTGAAATATTAAATTTTAAGTTAGTAATAGTTACCATTTATCGCAGTCCTGATGAAAATGTTGAAAATTTTTTTAATGTCATAGAAAAATTGTTAAGTCACATTAGTCGGTTAAATAAGCAGTCAGTTATATGTGGTGACTTCAACATGGATTTTCTTAGTATTGAAAAAGTTCCTGTGAACCTTGTAAATCTCTTTAATATTATTAAATATAGTTTTGTTTCCCCGTTTGTGTTCTGAAACACGATTCTGTTTTGCATACATAGAATGCAATGTTGTATCTAATCAGAAGAGTCAAAATCGTGTATTGCGGCGTGTAAACAGTACACAAAATGTCCTTATAAATTATATGTATGGTTTACAGATGACAGTTACTGAGCCTACTAGAGGGAAAAGATGCTTAGATAATGTATTTACATCTTTAAATGACAACTTTACAATCAATGTAGTAAACAGACATGTTAGTGATCACCTAGGACAGGTTTTTAAATGTAATTTTGACAATGTACCTGAAAATTGTTCTACAGAAAACATTAAAACAATAACAAAGATAACTGATGAAGGGATTAGAGAATTCAAATTCTATTTAGGGAAAGAATGTTGGGAGGATGTTTTTCAAACAAATGACATTCATGTTAGTTTTAGAAATTTTATAGATACTTTGAAATATTATTTTAGTGTTTGTTTTGTAACTACCATAACTAATAAAAAAGTAAGGTATGAGAAAGCCCAATCAAAATGTCAATGGTATAATTTAGAGCTAAAAAAAATTAAAGACAGATTAGATTTGCTGTATGACCTCTCAAAATCTACAAATATTACTTGTTATAAAAATGAATATAAGGAACTCAAGATTGTGTATAGGCGTAAGATTAAAGAGGCAAAAAAACAGGCAAACGTTAGCTTTATTAATAATGCAAAAAATAAAACAAAAGCGTTATGGAGTATTGTAAATAAAAATAAAAAAGGTGCTGTAAATAGTAGTAAAAATAATTATTTTATACCAAATGAATTTAATGACTTTTTTATTAATGTTGCCAAAGATTCGATTAGCCCTAGTTCTTGTGTAAATAGTAACTGTGATTTCAATTTATATTTAAGTAACCTGATTGTACCTGATAGTATTAGTGAATTTAGTTTTAAGTTTGTAACAGAAAAGAATATTATAGATGTAGTTAAGCAATTAGCTCCTAAAAAAAGTCAAGATCACTATGGTTTGACTAATGCTTTGATTAAGGAAGCCATTACCAGTTTTGTGTCTCCACTGACAGTTCTCATTAATAGTTGTTTAGGACTGGGAATATTTCCTGATATTTTAAAGATCACAAAAGTGCTTCCTATTTATAAGAAAGGTAAAATACCCCCGCCGCAGCAAATCTGCAGACTAAGCGAATTTCCATTTGCCTGATTGGATTTACACTAAAATGCCTCCTAAAAATATCACATTTATTCCCTATTTAAATAGAATTAGTTTAACGAGTACTTAGGTTTGCTGCATCAGGGAGG